CCCTTATGATTCCCATATGGCCCAGAATAGGGGGTACCCCCTTTATCACCCCAAATAGAATAGAATCCCTTTCAAAGAGTAATATGGGGGCCTGAATAACTAGAATAGGGTTCGCGGTTATTACAGTATACTTAAACGGGACAGGTGCAGGTCACCTCCACGACGGGTGAAGGTGTCGAGGCTTAGCCCTAAACCCTAAACCCTAAACCCTAAACCCCAAACCCCAAACCCTAAACCCTAAACCCTGTAACCCTAAACCCTAAACCCTAAACCCCAAACCCTAAACCCCAAACCCCTGGCGCCTTCGGTGTCGGTGCTGTTTCGGATATCGTCCATGGAAGAGCTAAGCTTCGACATGTCCGTGCAGATCTCCAGAGCCACTCGCCGCAGCCCATATCCTTTGGGGGTTTAGGGTTTAGGGTTTAGGGTTTAGGGTTTAGGGTTTAGGATTTAGGGTTTAGGGTTTAGGGTTTAGGGTTTAGGGTTTAGGGTTTAGGGTTTAGGGTTTAGGGTTTAGGGTTTAGGGTTTAGGGTTTAGGGGGCTCTGTACCCAAAGACTCGACTGACCGCGTATTGCTGGGATTTAGTGCCTCTTTGAATTCTGAGAGTGATATGATTGAAGGACTATTCCGCCATGAAGGGGTGGTGAAGTCTCTGGGAAGTGTACAGACAAGCCAAAGCCAGCATCCCTGCATGCAGGGATTTTGGATTTTGGGGCCCTCCGACTAGCCGAAACCTTGACCGAACCTGAAACCCTCAAGCCCTAAACCCTAAAGCTTGCAAAAATCTGATGCACCCTAACCCTAAAGCTTACTAAACCCTAAACCCCTTACCCCCAAAAGAAGCCCAAGTGGCTGTCGAAGACCTCGAAAGCTTCGTGCTGCGACCAAGGAAAGCCCTCCACAGCTTGGAGCTCAGGCTTTAGGGCTTAGGGTTTAGGGTTTAGGATTTAGGGTTTAGGGTTTAGGGTTTAGGGTTTAGGGTTTAGGGTTTAGGGTTTAGGGTTTAGGGTTTAGGGTCCGCCGACCCTGGCGGCGAACGGTAGGGGGGGTCGGTGCACAATTTTTTCGTGGAGAACCGCGACCCGCACAGCGTAAACAGGCGGTTCAGCACAGGGGGTAGGGGCGCCCTCAGCAAAAATCAGCGTTTTTCCGCACCCCACCCCCCTCCCCCCCCTACCCCCCCCTTACCCCCCCCCCCCCCTACACCCCCCCTACCCCCCTACCCCCCGCCCCACCCCCCAACCCCTACCCCACCCCGCCCCCCCTTCCCCCCCCCCCCCTTCCCCCCCCCTCCCCCCCCCCTGTCTTTTCTTTCCGGCTGCCTTCTGGGCTGTTTGGGTCCTGGCCACCCCCCCCCCCCACCGTTTCACAGAACTCTGCCGAGCAAACTCGAAAAAAACATCTTCGAAACATGCGATGAGGAAAGCATCCTTTGAGCCGACGAGTGGGTTTAGACCTTTCAACTATGCTCCAGCGGGGTCGGCGGCTTGAGCGGGAGGCTCTTAAATTTAGGGTTTAGGGTTTAGGGTTTGCTGTGGCCATTATGGGAACAGGCATCATCTTGAACAACTCACACCTCCAAAACAGCCGGCCCTGGTGGTTTGGGCTCAGAGTTCAGAGGGTAGGGGTTTTGGGGTGTTTAGGATTTAGGGTTTAGGATTTAGGGTTTAGGGTTTAGGGTTTAGGGTTTAGGGTTTAAGGTTTAGGGTTTAGGGTTTGGACGGTTGAGATTGGGAGGTTGTCTTAGAGTTTGGGGGGGCACACCTCGGACGTGAGGATGGCCACGTGATCCACCCAGGATTTCTGAATGGGGAAGATGTGCTCGTGCCTTTCCTCGTTCTGCTCTACCATCACGGTCACCTTGCTCAGGGGTTAGGGTTTTCTTTTAGGGTTTAGGGTTTGGGGTTTAGGGTTTGGGGTTTGGGGTTTAGGGTTTGGGGTTTGGGGTTTGGGGTTTAGGGTTTAGGGTTTAGGGTTTAGGGTTTAGGGTTTAGGGTCCACCAACTTACTTGTCCCAGTTTCATAAAGGAACTAAAGGCCAACCTTGAATAAATTGGGATGTCACTTCCCCGAAAGCCAGACCCTAAACCCTAATGAAATCCTACCTGGACCACCGAGTACCCGTTCAGATTCCCAGAATAGCCCTATTAAGGCCCACTTGGGCACTTGCTAAGAAGCACTTGGGTGGGGGGGGGGGGGGCTCAAGGCAAGCCTTCTAAAACCCTAAACCCTAACCTTAAACCTTAAACCCTAATTTTTTTAAACCCTAAACCCTAAGCCCTAAACCCTAAAACCTAAACCCTAAACCCTAAACCCTAAACCCTAAACCCTAAACCCTAAACCCTAAACCCTAAACCCTAAACCCTAAACCCAAACCTGGCTTTGGTTGACCATCTCCAGGAACGACTCGCGCGCTGCGTCCGGCATTTCGGAGACGGTGCGGTCCACGTAGGAGATGATCCTGGTTGCTTTGAAGAGTAGGGTTTGGGGTTTAGGGCTTCTCAAGCCAAACCCCTAAACCCTAAGCCCGAATTAAACCCTCAACCCTCAACCCTCAACCCCAAACCCCAAACCCCAAACCCCAAACCCTAAACCCAAAACCCCAAACCCCAAACCCCAAACCCTAAACCCTAAACCCTAAACCCCAAACCCCAAACCCTAAACCCTAAACCCTAAACCCCAACCCCTAAAACCTCCCAAAGGCCGCAGAGCCCCTTGAAGCGGCTCCTCGGGCCGACCCCTGCGATCGGGTCCAAGTCGGGAATCGGATACCTTGCAGCTAGGGTTTAGGGTTTAGGGTTTAGGGTTTAGGGTTTAGGGTTTAGGGTTTAGGGTTTAGGGTTTAGGGTTTAGGGTTTAGGGTTTAGGGTTTAGGGTTTAGGGCTTTGGAGTTTTGGAGTTTTGGGGTTTGGGGTTTGGGGTTTGGGGTTTGGGGTTTGGGGTTTGGGGGTTAAGGTTGCCGAACACGCTAAACCCCTCCAGCCAAACTATGTTGAGAAAGCTCACCACCTCCGGTTGAGCGGCAGGCTGCTGACATCTGCACCCAACTTCCAGGTGTTGCCCGTGTTCTTCGACCCGGCGAAGGCATACCAGTCTCCGAAGATCTTCCGAAAAGTGTACTTGCCTAGGCCCAAGAGTCACCTAGGAATAGAAAGGGTACCCTTTTTGCCTCAAAAGGGGCTTACAAGGCAATCTCTGGGTCCTAGTAGCCCTAAACCCTAAACCCTAAACCCTTAAACAAATAAAGAAAAAGAATCAGGGCCTACTCCGGGGTCCCAGTTGCCGTTCTCGCCGTTGCTCTTGGTGGTGACACAGAAACGCTGAGCATCCTCCATGTTGTACCTGGACCCGAGCCAATGGATCCCTGGCCACCCTTAAGTGAAGCTAGGGTTTAGGGTTTAGGGTTTGGGGTTTGGGGTTTGGGGTTTGGGGTTTGGGGTTTGGGGTTTGGGGTTTGTGGCTTGGGGCTTGGGGCTTGGGGCTTGAGGCTTAGGGCTTAGGGTTTAGTTTAGGGTATTCTAAGACCCCCCCCCCCCCCCCCCCCATAAGCGAAGAACTACAACCCTGAACCCTAGAACCAAGCCCTGAAGCCCAAACGTCAAGCCAGGAACCCCCTCCCGAAAACCCTAAAGCCCTACACCCCTCCTTGAACCCTCAACCCCGGACCTCCCTAGAATCCGAAACCCCTCCCCCTAGACCCTAAACGCTGAATCTGGCGGGGTTTTAGGGTTTAGGGTTTAGGGTTTAGGGTTTAGGGTTTAGGGTTTAGGGTTTAGGGTTTAGGGTTTAGGGTTTAGGGTTTAGGGTTTAGGGTTTAGGGCTTAGGAAAAACCGCCCAAGGGGCCCGTGGAAGAGGAAGGAGTGCGCTTCCGCCGTCACGTTGGACTCCTCGTCCTCATCGGCGACCGTCAGGCCTGAGCACAAGGGGGCTCAGGGTTTAGGGTTTAGGGTTTGGGGTTTAGGGTTTGGGGTTTGGGGTTTAGGGTTTAGGGTTTTAGGGTTTAGGGTTTAGGGTTTTAGGGTTTAGGGTTTAGGGTTGAGGGTTTAGGGTTTTAGGGTTTAGGGTTGAGGGTTGAGGGTTCAGGATTTGGGGTTCCGGGCGTGGGGTTCAGGGTTTGTGTTTAGGGTTCAAGGTTTGGGGTTCAGGGGTTTAGGGCGGGGAGGTTGAAGTTTGGGGCTTTAGCATTTGGGCTTTAGGGTTCGGGTTTGGGGTTTAGGCCCTGAACCCTAAACCCTAAACCCGAAAAAACCCTAAACCCGACAAAAAACCCTAAACCCTGAACCCTAAACCCCAAACCCTAAACCGCTGTTGGAGCTTGCAGTTTGCGGTGCACACAGCGAGAGCTCCCAGGGGCTCAGGGTGCCAGAAGAATCACGTAGGGTCTCATGTTGGTTTGAAAATGTTGGGGTTTTGGGTTTAGGGTTTCGGGTTTAGGTTCAGGGTTTAGGGTTTCGGGTTTAGGGTTTAGGGTTTAGGGTTTCGGGTTTAGGGTTTAGGGTTTAGGGTTTAGGGTTTAGGGTTTAGGGTTTAGGGTTTAGGGTTTAGGGTTTAGGGTTTAGGGTTTAGGGTTTAGGGTTTAGGGTTTAGGGTTTAGGGTTTAGGGTTTAGGGTTTACGGGTTAGGGTTTAGGGTTTAGGGTTTAGGGTTTAGGGTTTAGGGTTTAGGGTTTAGGGTTTAGGGTTTAGGGTTTAGGGTTTGGGTGGGAGAGAGGGTTTAGGGGGGTAGGGGTTAGGGCTTCGGAGCGCATGTGGTTAAAGGAGGTTCCTGCGACATATCGAGGCGCCAGCCTCCCCTAAACCACTCTTACGTGTATAATACAACTGTTAATGATTTTGCTGGCAAGGTCACTACAAGGTCACTACAAGGCGTACGACAAGGTTCTAAAAGTAGCGGGCAAGGTCGTTACAAGGTCACTATAAGGTCCCATGCCCTTGCTATGACGTTGTTATGACCTTGCCAGCGAGTTAGAACAACCCCCCCCCCCCTGCATGTAAGGGTGGCGGGCGCGCTAGGAACTTAGCGTTAGGCGCATGTAAGGGTTCAGCCAAGGACCCTCAGCCCGAAATCCCGCGATACTGAATTGCAGGCATGGCCAACCAGTCCTTCACAAACATTGAAGCCTAACCCTAAACCCTAAACCCTAAACACTAAACCTTAAACCTAAACCCTAAACCCTAAACTCTATATAAACCCTAAACCCTGGACCCTACACCCTAAACCCTGAACCCTGAAACCTGAACCCCAAGCCCAGCCCAGGCCTGTGAATTTGAAGAAGCCGCGCAACACCACGTTCACCTCCTCTTAGGGTAGGTTGGGGGGGAGGGGGGCCTACAAAAAAAAAAAAAAAGTATGGCTTTATGACAATGAGGATTGTATAGGGATTAGGGTTTAGGATTTAGGGTTTAGGGTTTAGGGAAAATGTGTTCCAATCAACCCCTGTCCTCACCGTCTTTGGAGAAGCAGAAGTGGGTATATCCACGCGGAAGGAACTTGCGCAAGAGCCTTTGTAGCCCAGTAACCATAGCATAATATGGGTACCCTTTTGTGGGTCGGTTACGTTTTAAGGGAACCTTGAACTAAACCCTAAACCCTAAACCCTAAACCCTAAACCCGAAACCCTAAACCCTAAACCCGCTGGGCTACCAAGGAGCGCGGAGGTCAGGTACACGCCATCGTCGTAGCCTTTCCCTCTCCTAGGCACAGGGGCACCCTAAACCCTAACCCTAAACCCTAAACCCTAAATCCTAAACCCTAAACCCTAAACCCTAAGTATTAGGGGCTCTGAAGTCTTCAGGGCACCCGGGGCCAGCAGGAGGAGCCGGGAGGTATACAGGGACTCTGCAGTCCTCGCAGTCCTGTGGTTTAGGGTTTAGGGTTTAGGGTTTAGGGTTTAGGGTTTAGGGTTTAGGGTTTAGGGTTTAGGGTTTAGGGTTTAGGGTTTAGGGTTTAGGGTCTAGGGCGACCCTGAGCCAGTCAGTGGACAGGGCTCTGTCTGTGTTGAGGGCTGAGGATTTTGGGACCCAAAGGCACCAGGGGAGCGGTCATTAGGGCGACTACCTCCACACCCCTAAACCCCAAACCCCAAATCCCAAACCCCAAACCCCAAACCCCAAACCCCAAACCCTAAACCCTAAACCCTAAACCCCAAACCCCAAACCCCAAACCCTAAACCCTAAACCTGGATTTACACTCGCACAGCCAGGGTGCGCTTCGAAACGCTTTCCTTCCTGGGCCGATACAAGTTTCTTGACATGGCAGTTCGGAGTGGCGTGGGGTTCTAGGATGCTCAGTAACCTAGGATGTCACCCTAAACCCTAGCCCTAAACCCTAAACTCGAAACCCCTAGGATTTAAAAGGGGTACCCTGTGTTTTTCTTACAGGGGCGTATAAGGGAACCTAAAACCCCCTAAAAAACAGGGAATAAGGGTACTACTGGGCATCCCAGGGTTCAGGGTGGGGGTTTAGAAACTCACAGAACCGTTTAGGGCTTAGGGTTTAGGGTTTAGGGTTTAGGGTTTAGGGTTTAGGGTTTAGGGCTTCCCTAAACCCTAAAAGCCCTAAATCCTAAACTCTAAACCCTGAAAACCCTAAACATTTGGGGTTTAAGGTTTGAGGGCGTTGAGGTCCTGCTATTCCCCAAAGTCCCTGCAAACACAGGGGCGCACGGAAACAGCTTCTTCTGTCGTCACAAATATGGGTTTAGGGTTTAGGGTTTAGGGTTTAGGGTTTAGGGTTTAGGGTTTAGGGTTTAGGGTTTAGGGTTTAGGGCTAGTGACGCAGTTTGGATATCAGGATCTGGGCTGCATTTGCTATTGATGCGTTTTGGATACTTGGATATGATTACGATCTTCTGGATGCAGATACAACCCGAAATATGGGAACCCTAAACCCTAAACCCTAAACCCTAAAACCCTAAACCCTAAACCCTAGGCTAAGACTACAACTTCAGAAGAAACACTTCCTTTGCTCAAGCTCGGCATGCTAGAGGCAAGGCTCCGTGAGGGCTTGGAGTCTGGCAGCCCCACCTCAACCCCAAACCCTGCATGCACCCCAAAACCCGGAACCCTTCACCCTAAACCCTAAGCCCCAAACCCTAAACCCTAAACCCTAAACCCTAAACCCTAAACCCCAAAACCCCAAAACCCCAAAACCCTAAACCCTAAACCCCAAAGCCCAGGACCGCCCAAGTGCGTGCGCGGCACCGAAGACTTCAGCCACTTCGAGAACTTGGGGACGCAGAGCCGAAAGTTCTCGGCCGTGGCCGAGACACCCGAAGCCAGGGCTTCGCGCGCGACCTGCAGGGGTCTTAGGGTTTAGGGCTTGGGGCTTAGAGCTTAGGGTTTAGGGTTTAGGGTTTAGGGTTTAGGGTTTTGGGTTTAGGGTTTAGGGTTTAGGGTTTAGTGCTTAGGGCTTAGAGCTTAGGGTTTAGGGTTTTGGGTTTTGGGTTCAGCATCTGAAAGTTCAAGCACTCACTAGGTGAATCTTCGTCCGGGCCATGGCTATGCGTTCCAGACCAGGCAAGCACTCATAGCAGGACCGCTGCACGTCATTTTGATCCTCTTTGGACGCAGCTCCAAACTTGCAGATAGGCGCACCAAGGCTGCCGAGAACAGGCCAAACTGGCGTGCAAAGCTCCTGGATGTTGGCCACGCTGGTACAATCGGTCCCCGAGTTTGAGATGGATCGCCTCCATCGTTGCGGTAAATGCGCCGTACTCGTACATCTTCGCTTCCGAGATGTCTGCAAATTGTTGGATCAGCGCTGGGCAGCGGCGTAGCAGCTTTTCAAGCGCCGAAAAGTATTCAATTACTTAGAGAATCCCATACCATTAAGTTAATAAAAGGCTTCACACGCAACCCAAACTCTTAGCTTCAATTAAACCCTACGCACTCGTCCCTGAACCTTAAACCCTAACCTTAGAGCCCTAAGCCCTGAACCCCCCTAAGTTCCTTGAACCCTAAATTTTAGGGCTCTTCAACCCTCATGCCAGCCACCAGTGGCTTTGAAAATGAATCTCAAAAAGGGTGCCCACTGATTTTGACCTTGCCCACTAATTTCCGGACCTTGCCCGGTATTTTCGGACCTTGCCACTAATTTTAGGACCTTGCCCGCTAATTTTCTTCGGACCTTGCCCCGCTAATTTTTGGACCTTGCCCGCTAGCTTTCGGACCTTGCCCGCTAATTTTCGGACCCGGTCAATGTCCGAAAATTAGCGCGCAAGGCCCCAAAATTTACCGACTTGCCCGCTAATTTTCGGACCTTGCCCGCAAAGTCATTAACATTTCTATTATTTTTGATAGAGCGGTTTAGGGTTTAGGGGCTTCGGGGCTTCGGGGTTTAGGGGTTTAGGGGTTTAGGGGTTCAGGGGTTCAGGGGTGTAGGGTGTAGGGGTTCAGGGGTTTAGGGGTGTAGGGGTTGAGGGGTTAACGGGTTCAGGGGTTGAGGGGCTTAGGGGAAACCCCAAACCCTAAACCCGAAATGGCAGCGAACATACATCTGCCAAGGCTTTAGGGGACCCCAAAACTGAATGCAATTGTGGGGCTCCACCCTAAACCTTCTGAGCCCTAAATCCTTTGACAAAGGCCCTAGGCCCTAAAAAAATGTACATATGGGGGGTTTCCGTAGGATAGACCCCCCAACTAGTAAGATTCCCTTGTCATATGGGACTCCAATAAGGCACCCCTGATTTCAGAAACACCCATGTCGGTTTGAACCCTCAGCCTAAAAAGAAAAGTAAGACAACTCCCATTCCCCTTCTGTTGGTGCTAGGCTCCCTCAGCCACCTCCAAAAACAAACACGCTAACCTCTAAACTCACAATCCCTAAACCCTAACCCCTTAACCCCCGAAGCCCCTAAACCCTAAAGCCTAAACCCTAAAGCCTAAACCCTAAAGCCTAAACCCAGGCATTTGGCTGCCAGCGAGAGCATGTGCATGTTAGTGGGGGGCTTGAAGGCTTTACCGCTGTGTACGATGTTGCATGGTGTCACCTACTTGAGTTTTGCTTTCTTTTTCCTTGTAGTCTCGTTGGCTACAACGCCCGGCATTTTGCAGGGCTTTTTCGAACCGTCCGCAGCTATGAGCGGACGCGACTCCGGACTGGGGGCAGAGCTCAGCCAGGCCTACCGCCACCTCGAGGCACAGAGGCAGGCCACACAGCACGACGTCTACAACGCCGGCCAGGACATGTGGTTCGACTCAAGACGCGCTGCTAAGAGAGGGCCCCCGTCCACCCTGGCGTCTACGGCCCAGTCCCATGCTACACCGCCCTCGGACCATGTCATGGAGACCGCGGAGAGGGACGCCATTGTGGAAGAAGGGGTACGCGACCCCCCGACAGAGAGGCGGACCCCTTCATCCCTCTTCCAGCCCATGCCCATAGAGTCGGACATCGCCTACCAGATGACGGCTGCGCAAAGGGGCGTGGACATTAACGATGTGGGGGCTATGCAAGCCTACATGGCTACACCGCTCCCAACAAGGAATGAGGTTCTCCAGACCATTCGCGATTACCACCTCGGGGTCCTGCGACCCGAAATCTTCAACCTCATCACGCAGGTCGAGAACGTCATCGGCAAGCTCGACGACAAGATCCTCAAGACCCAAGAGTCTCTGCAGTGGCTAGCCTCAGACAATAGACAGCAGCAAAAGAAGGAGAGCGCCATGCTAGTGGTCACGTCTGGCTGGGATAAAACGCTCGCACCTGCGGACAGGCTCTTTCAGATTAACTGGATGCTGGAGCAGCTGGAGCACATCAAGCAGTTCATCCACCAGCGCGTCTACAACGCCTCCGACTCCTGCAGACTTTGGTGTCTTTCTGCCCTCGCAGTGGAGCCGTCTACACCGCCAGCAGGCCCACACGCGTGGTCTACGGTGACAATGCTGCAGTTGAAGGACTTCTCGCGCCGCAAGGCATTTGTTGACGCCTACGGTGGTGGAGCCGGATGCCCTCTGTACAAGGACGCTAAAACGCCCGTCAAGCAGCACCACATCCGGGTTACCGCAGCCTCACCGCAGTTCCAGCGCAAGCTTGAGCTCCCATTGCGGGTGGCACTCACTGTGATACACCGCTCCTCGGAGGTGCAGGGTACAACGCCGGAGCCCATCGTCATCCTTTGGCGCACGCTGACAGTCATGAAGCCCGCCGCCACGAAGGAGTTCAACCCCCAAGCCCGCGCTTGGGCTCGGATGACGTACTACGAGCAGAGTGGTGAGCTACGTGGCCTCCTCGAAGTGGACGCGGAGTTGTTCGACCTCATGTCAGCTAAACCGCCGCATGGGGACGAGGAAAACCTTTGGGCCCACTGCTGGAACCAGCTGACCTTTGGAGTTCAGCACGAGTTGGACGTCGCCGAGAAGCAAGTTTTCACCCAGGCAGCCCTCGGAGCCAAAGGTTCCTCGAAGGGTATTTCCCTGGGTAAATCGCAGCGCCACTGGAGCGCGCCGTTTATCTATAATTCGGCCATGAATCCCTTCCCGATCCCCATGACCATCAGCAAAGTTGATGCTGTCAGCTATTGTTGGGATGAATATTGCGATAAGGTAGCTGCCCCACAGCATAAGGTGGGGAACTACCAGGCCGGAACTTTTGAGGGGGCTCCCGTGGTTACACCGCCAGCGGCGAGAGCCAATCTTCCGCAAGAACCCGCGCCCTCTGAGCCAGGCCCCGGCAAGGGTAGAGGCAAGTGACGGGGTCCATACAGCATTGCGGGTATGGCCTCAGCGCCTTTTGCATGTTTAAATTTTGCAGTCCAGTGCTCCCCGGACTACACCGCCCTAATCCCACATTTAAGGCTGCGTCTGCCCACCTTTGAACTTTCTCAACGCAGACTGCGCCGCGGGTACGGGTTGAGCACGGCTGCCTTTAAGAGACAGGGAGGTAGCGCCTTTTCCTTCCTGGGTAAAACGCCCAGCAGATTCCAGGAACCCCACCTCACCAGTAGATGCATTGGTTGGGATAGGAGTCCTCTTCGTAGATCACAGTTTAGGGGTAAGAAGCGTCACAAACAACCCGCCTGTCCCCACCTATCTAGGGCACTCCTTTGGCATCTAATAGCAGCATTTACAGTTTTCTACTATACCTGTCCACACCGCCATAACCCCTTAATTGTAGTCCTGGATGCCCTGGCCGTTTTCGGAGCCTTTTCCACCATGGCACGCTCCGCAACAATGATCTGCCGCTCCGCAAGATCTTGCAGAACAAAAAGAACAGAGAACACAGCACAGGCTACACCGCCGGGTCAGGGATTTCTTAGGTGGGGGTATACCATTGACTATCTAGGTGTACTCCAAAGAACACTTAACCGTCTGATGCATACCCTCAATGGTAACACCGCAACTAGAGTAGAGATCTCCCTCAATGATCTCATACCTCCAAACCCCACTCCCCTACCTGGGCTGAAACTTTCAAGAGCGTTTCTTTTAGCACATCGGCAGCCCAAATCCCCTATCCCAGAAGAGCTCCCCACCCTAAACCCCCGGGCTACACCGCCACGAACAGGGCGAAGAACATGTTTCAGAAATCAAGAGGGACTTAAGATTTCCTTCTCCAAAAAGGTTACAAAGCCAAAACGCCGTTTTGTTCAAAACAAGACGGGCTGTCACCCGCTTGGATCCCCTACCCTCCACCCTACCCACACCCAGCCTTACCCTGAAGGGGTCGGGCAGAAAGTTTCCAAGGGCACTGGGAATTCAATGAATTTAAAGAATACTTTCATTCTTGCTAGTAAGCCTACACCGCCTCAACGAGGCTTGCCGGGTGCCACTCCGGTGGTTAACGAAGAGTGTTTGTCCCCACCCCTTCCCGCCAAAGCTCTTTTAGGTCGGGGACCCGGGGCTCGCTGTCTACGTAGACGATACTATCGTCAGTGGCGGGGGTCCTTTAGGGCTAACATATTGCCAGGGAACACGGGAAACAACCTGGTAAAGGGAAGGGTTCCCTTGAAAGCAGATCATGGGAAAGACAGGAAGACAACCAATGCCGGAAATTTTCGTAGGCTCGTTCTTCGACAATCGGCAATTGGAGTCAGGAAGGGAAAGACCACAAAGCTAATGGCTACACCGCCCGTAGCTTATGGTTCTTCTCTTCGAATAGGCACACAAAATGTTCAGGGAATGGCTGAACTCTTTAAGCATCAAGAGGTCCTCGCTCTCATGCATGCCCAGCACCTCGACGTTTTGATGTTAACGGAAACCCACTCTAAGTCATACTACTCATTTCAAAGTCAGGGCTACCTTTTTGTGGTCAATGGTAACAACAAGGACAAATGGTCAGGGGTCACAGCGGTTATATCGCCAACAATGGTTCCTCATATTTGCAACATCATTCAACACACTTCTCGTATCTTACAAATCATCATCTCATCCAAATCAGGCTCCATTCATATTATTGGGGTATATGCCCCACACGACAAATCGCAGGAAGAGGAGCGTAAGACCCCATTCTGGAACATGCTGGAAGACATCCTAACAACAATTCCACAACCTGAGCCGGTTTAC